GGAGAGATTTCGACAAATTTTTGCCATTTGTGAAATGTATTGGAGTCAATGGGGAAGATGACAATTTGGTGGTTTTGGTGGTTGGTCCCGCCCAGACCCCACCTCTAAATATGTGGAGAATGCCAGTCACACCCACTTATGGGTTAGACCCACCCAGACCCCACCTCTAAATATGTGGAGAATGCCAGTCACACCCACTTACAGGTTAGACCCCCACCTCCAAGACCCCGCCTCAAATATGCAGGGACTGCCCCCTCATGGCCACCATTCCTGCAATGAATGCCTTTGTAAGTCACTGCGCATCTGCAGTTGGCATATTTACATTATTTATCGGCAAAGTCATGTGATCAACAGGTCTATCGGCGTGGAAGCAGTGGTCTCTCTACAGAGGTCTGATGACCCCCGCTCTCAGCGTGGAAGCAGTGGTCTCTCTACAGAGGTCTGATGACCCCCGCTCTCAGCGTGGAAGCAGTGGTCTCTCTACAGAGGTCTGATGACCCCCCGCTCTCTGCGTGGAAGCAGTGGTCTCTCTACAGAGGTCTGATGACCCCCCGCTCTATGTGTTGAAGCAGTGGTATCTCTACAGAGGTCTGATGCCTCTGTAGAGGCAGGGAGCATGAGCTTTGCAGTTTGGAGAGCTCTGGCTCCTACTCTCCTTCCACGCAGAGAGCAAGAGCCCTCAACTCAACAGGGGATGCAGACCTCTGCAGAGAGACCACTGCTTCCTCACAGAAAACAAGGGTCCTCAAGTCTACAGTGGGTGTGTCAGACATCTATGCAGAGGTCACTGCTTCCACACAGAGAGCGTTAGCCCTCAATTCAACAGGCGGTGTATAAGACCTCTGCAGAGAGACCACTGCTTCCACACAGAGAGCAAGGCTCCTTCTCTGCAGAGAGACCACTGCTTCCACACAGAGAGCAAGACTCCTCTGCAGAGAGACCACTGCTTCCTCACAGAGAGCAAGACTCCTTCTCTGCAGAGAGACCACTGCTTCCATACAGAGAGCAAGACTCCTTCTCTGCAGAGAGACCACTGCTTCCACACAGAGAGCAAGTCTCCTTCTCTGCAGAGAGACCACTGCTTCCACACAGAGAGCAAGACTCCTTCTCTGCAGAGAGACCACTGCTTCCATACAGAGGGGGGGTGAAAAGTTTGGAGAAAGGCCGGTCTATGTCTTCTGACCCCGCAGACTGGTCAGTAATCTCCCGGTCGGGGGGGTTGTATCCCCTCATTGACGCCATCCATCACCTAGTTCCTGTAGGTGAGCTCCATCCGGCGCGGCATTCACCGGCACGTTCGGACCGAACGCACACGCGCGCGCACACGTTGGTTTCCCCTCCCCCCTCCTCAGTACTCTTCCTGTGCAATAATAATCTTTGTAAAGTGATCCCTTTGTAGCGGTGGATGGATCCGGCTTCTCGGTGATCTGTGATGTAACGATGTTGTTTCAATATGTCAGATGATACAAATTAATCTACTTTATTAAAACTCAAAAACGTGAAAAGCGACGCCTGCCGAGTCTTTTGTCATCGCATGACGTTGGCGTGTTTCCGTGCGAATGAGCTTAGCGTCAGGCGCACACGTCTAAACCAAGGGGATTGGATGATCGGAACGCGGAGCTCCGCGAAGGAACGGGGTCATGTGACTTGGAGGAACTCATCTACAAACCTGTGTGCTGGGTGAATGCCGGTCACGCGGCCTTACCGCCACCAGAGGGCGCCGGGGAGTCCTCGGAAATTCTCATCGGCGCCATCTAGTGGCGATCACGTGAACGGCCCATCTAGACTCTGACCGGACGAGTGCAAGGTGTGATGGAGTGATGTGTGAGATTTAAGGGGTTAAAGGTCAAA